TGTAATAAGTTACATTTAAGGTCGGAAACGGTATTTCGGATCCGAAGGGGTAGATAAGGAATAAAGGGAGGAAATAACGGATATTAAATAAATACTTGTAAATAGTTTAATTAGTTTTAATGGATAAGTCGCATTTGTGAGTGACGAATTTTATATTATAAATAAAGGCCGAAATGGCCATTAGGAGCAGTACGCTTCGTTTGCTTTATTAAATAATAAATCCCAATACACTACATTGTACATAATAAACACTAACACTATTATCGTTACAAACCCTGTGAACCCCTATAACATTGTTGTTCAAGCCCTTGACCACGTGACTTACCCTACTTGCATTCATTTACCCAAAGTAACTGAAAGCCTTAATTGTCCACTAGCCAAATCTAACACCCTCTTTCAAAAAGGTTACTTATCATACATTATGCAGATATTGAATTGTGGAGCAACAGAGTCGCAAACTTCTGAACCCAACAATATAAAGGAGGATTCATGAATTTGAAGCTGAGTAACATCTTTATACATGACACTTGATTCAATCTTCATAGAGAAGTTCTTTCAGTTATTTGATTATGATCAATATTAGGATGAAATTGTTAAGAAGAACTTGTGCTAGGTTGTTGGATGATCAAATCATCTTTTTCAGAAAGTTTTTTTAGCAAGTATACACCAAAAGACTATCTATAGAAATAAATAAATTATAAAAAAATTGTAATAAATTATATTAAATATTTAGATTATAATTAAATTATAAAATAATTTATTATTATTTTTTTTTTAAAAAATCCCAAAGTAGCAATTAGTTGAGAATGTCATGTGGCATGATTTATTGTTATAAAGTTATACAAATATTGCAGACACTATTTAGATGAAATTAATTATTTATGTTACATATATATTTTAATAAAGTTTTTTTTTTGTTCTTCAGCAATTTATTTGTCAACACAACCTGCACTTTTCTAATTAAATTATCTTTTCATATAAATGGTAATGCAGGTTTTGGCAGTGAAATGTTACTACATTTTTTCAGTTTGTAAACCAATACCAAATTTCATAAACTACATTAATGTGTAGTTATATTAGCACAAAGTATGGCTATAATCCTTTAATATTGAAGGCAGTAATTACTTTCTCTAAAGAGAATAGAGGTAATATATTGTACTTAGTTTCAAGTATGCAATATACTAATTTCTAAAACTTTTTACTTATTTAACAATCAATAGTGAAGTGTTCCAAATTCTGAATCTCAGATGAGTACCATAGATAATATTGTGATATTCTAATCTATATAAATAAGTCTTGGTTCTACAAAAAGGCATTATGCAGCAGTCTTCAAACAACATCCTTTTTTCTATTTGAGATCTATTTTATAAGCATTCATAACCAGTTTTCTTTCTTATTATTATTATTAAAAAAAATTTTTAGGGATATAGTGTTTAATATAGATGTTCTTTTTAAAAATTCTGTAGCTTTTACTACTATTAACTCACTACTTTTCTTATACATAACCTTCATCAAATCAAGATCATATAGCCAGGCTCTTCTATCAACTGAAAATACATTTTATAATCTTTTTTAAGCTGTTAAATACAGTTTCTATTTATCAGACTATCTCTTTAATTTAATTATAGAGGTAAATAGCACTTTAGTAATCATTTTTCTTTTTTTATTGTACACTACTGCACTAATTTTTACTCTTTCACATTTTGTACAAAATTCTGACTTGTCAGCAATTTGATTTACACAGTACAAAGTCTTGCATCCAGCATGTCTGAAAGAACAGATATACCTAACTCATTCATTTCATATAATTATTAGTAAATAGAATATCTAGAGAAAAACTTGGATTTATTTTTGATCTATTTGATTATTAATTCATTGATACCTTTAAGCTGTTTTCTATTAGGTAAAAGTATATAAGTATTGAATTATATTTTAGAGAATAACAAAGATTTAGCTAATATAATCTGACCTCTAAATATTAGATTTCTCTTCTCTATAGAGTTCATTAATTTTTTGATTTTTGTAGTTATTTCTTCTCATAGTTTTGCTCATGCTAATTTTTTTTTGTTGACCTCAAAACCTATGATTCTAATTTCATTATTCTTTTCTATTTTATCAAAGCTTTCATCTTCTGACAACCTTGTTTTAGTGGTTTCATTGTTCAAAGGAACTAATTTCAATTTTTCTTTGTTTATTATAGTAGAAGCTATAGCTTTATATTTAGTTAACCAACTATAAGAACCCTTCAGTCCTCTTGTGATCCAATCTCAACTGTCAAATTATCTATGTAAGCAGTGATTTTGAAACTAAGACTGTTATTAGATACACCAAGTAAGTTATATTTTAACTTCTTTAAAAATGGCTCAAAGGCAATTATATAAAGAAGAGGTGAAATAGGATCCCTCTGTCTTATTTTTTTTTCTAGTTTAAATAGAGTTGATAGTAGCTTAGCATCTATAATACTGATATTTTATCATAAAAAGAAATTCTTAATTAGAATAATAAACTTTGAATTAAAGTTCATTTATCTTAGCACTGTGAACAGATAATTATAACTCAATCTATCAAACACTTTCTTTTAGTTCAAAAATACTAACTAAACTAGGCTTTTTTGTTTTCTCTGATTTTGAATTATACTAATTATGTCCAAGATTGCATCAACTATGAATCTTTCCTTAACAAAAGCTTGTTAATAGTTCTTTATAGCATTGTTGCATATAATATTTAGTTTATTAGCCATTACTTTCAAAAGTATCTTTGCATCTGTATTTATCACTGAAATTGGTTTTCAATTCTCTAAATCTTCTAGGACTTCTGTCTTTGTAGGTATTAATATGATTATACTTCTATACTATGAATCTGAGATTTTATCATTATTTAAAGCATCATTAAAGATGTTTTTCAATATTGGTGAAACTTCAGTTATGTACATTTTGTAAAATTCATGTGTTAGGCTATCAGTACCAGAGGTCTTGTTTCCTAGTAAATTGTTAATTATATTTGCAATTTCCTCAATATCAATTTCTCTCATTAACATTTGATTTAGGTCTTATGAAACTGTTGAAAGGTTGTTAGTAATATTCTCTGCCTTATTTGAATTAATTGATTTCACTTTATAAAGCAATTCAAACTGATCTCTTATGTAATTTAAACATTTTAGTGAATTATTTATTGTTGGTAAATCTGGGTCTTTTATTTTTGAAGTAGTTGAGTATACATGCCTCTGTTTATATCTGTTGAAAAAATAATGAATAAACTTTTCACCTTCTTCCAACTATTTAATCTTTGATCTTAATTGTCATTTATTTGCCAAATTTGTAAGCTCATCTTGCAAATCTGATTTTAATTATATGACAATTATTTTCAGATCTGTGAAGTTAGAATTTTTGGTAATTTTAAAGTCTAGCTTGTTGATTCATTTATTCAATTTTCTCATTCTTTTTTCTAGGGCTGGAGAAGATCTAAATGCCTGTATGATTGATTGTATTCTATTTTGCAAAGATCTCAATCTGATATTGCTTCTATGTTATTTAGTTCCTTTACAATCTTTTTGAAAATGTAGGGGTTCTTTAAGGATCTTAGACATAACTTCTATAAGACTGGTTTAGAAGTACTGGAATTATAATATAAAAAACATTGTACAAGAAGATGATCTGAATTACCAAAATCTGTTTCTATCTTCTTATACAGTTGAATATGATCATCATCTATGAATAAATAATCTAATCTTGTAAACATTGTATTACCATTTTTAACTCTTTGGAAATATGTAAAAAAGGGCAGCAAGCCATATATATTCATGATATCTGAAAACCTTTTAATAGTTTATTAAAATTTCTTCTAGTCAGGTCATTATGATTTGGTGTTTGGCTAAATCTATTATTCAGTGGGTCTAGATTTGTGTTGAGATCTCTGTCTATTATGTTGAGTGCATTTTTATTTAGCACAGAAGACCAGATATCTAGAAAATTACTTTTATCTGTTATGTTTGGTGAAATGTAAATATTTGTTATTTGAAATAAAAAATGCTAGAATGAAAAATTTGCTAATATTATATGTTCTTTATAGGATATTTGACATTCTCAAATTTTATTCTATAATTACTTGCTAATATTGCTATTTTTAATAACAAAATCAAATCATAGTATCATTGTTGCTTTAAAAACTTCTGCATTATTTGATCACTCAAATTTGTTACCTGAATCATTATGATATCCAGTTTGTAGAACTTTAAAAGTATAAGTGTTTTTTAACTTTTAGTCCTATTATTAAGCCCTTTAACATTCAATATGGCTATAACAATAAAATGCTTATTACTCATTATTTGCAAAAAAAATTAGACTTTATTTTTCTGTTTCAGGTCTACTCTTCTCTTTTTTTTCTTATTGCTTTTGACTTCTATAAAATCTTTATTATTCAAACCTTATGTCCTTGTCATTTTTATTTGTATTTACTGATATTTGTAAGTCACTGACATTTGTGCTTTACTGATCTCTAATGTGTTGATTAAGTTTAAAATTAAATTCTTTGCTTGTAAATACAAATCTGTTAGCACAAATTGGTATATTATCAGTCTAATCCTCTATATTTCTATTGTTTATCAATGCTTATTCCTCTTCTATATTTTCTATTTGTGCTGTTAGTTTCATCTCTGTATCTGAATCCTTTTTTGATAGAAATTGTGAATGGATCAAAGCAATATTATTCTTATTTAAACTATTTATCTTATTGCATTCTGCAGATTGTATATTGTTTATTTCTATAGTTAGTTTCAGTTGCACCCTTTTTAATTTTTTAAATTCTTTATATTTTTAATTCAACTTTATGGCTGCTTTTAATTGTTCACAATTTCTTTTTAAATGCCCTTTACTATCACAAAAGTAACAGAGTTTTGGGGTCTCTTTCTATTTTATAACAACCTTCTGATCTATAATGCATATGTATTTTGGGATTTTTTGTGAAAGGCCCTCATCATTTGCTATATTGAAAACTACGATCCACTAATCAGATTGTATTGGTGTGCCTTCATAAAGTAATAGTTTTATAGCCATAATAGTGCCTATGTTATCAAAGACTTCTTTAATTTTCTCAGTAATTACTTTCTTACTAGAAATAGATACTTTTCTAAGCCTTATTGTTGGCAGTAACTGATTTTGTCTAGTTGAGATAAATTCATAAAAGTTTTGTTGAAACATCATCAAGCCTTCTTTGGCATATCTTTTCATACGTTGCTTATCAGCAAATATTAATTCAAGTTAGGAACAGGTTTCTTTAACAAAATGAAGTCTTGTACTAATGAAATCTGATCTAATTTTGTTATATAACATGGTGATTATTTCATTAGTAGAAATATTTTTAAGATTCTAAATATTAAAAATTAAAGTATTATTGTTCTTTGTATATATATTTACTTAGGCAGAAAAAGCAGAATATGTAGCTTTCTCTTTCATCAACTTAGTAAATAAACTAGACCATGTTTTAGTTATTTATATTAAAATTTCATTCTTATTGCTAAAACTTGTACCTACTTGCAGGTCAGATGAGAGTTCATCATCTGATTTTTTGCTACTATTACTGGAACTTTTTATATAGGGAATGTTTGTGTTATTCACATTTTAGCAACAGTATTATTACCTTTTACACTAGTAATTGCTAGGTTTTTAACTATATTTTTAAAAAGTTCCATCCAGTCTGTATATATGCTGACTGTTGTATTTAGAAAAGTACTTTTAGGTGATACCAAAGTTGGTTTTCTTTCTGCATATGTGTTATTGCTCTCTATACCTTCAGATTTCATAGAATGAAACTTTTTCATTTTTTTTCTATATTTCTTACCGCTTTCTAAAGAAAATGTCTTTTGTTTCCTTAGGGCAGGAATACCACTCTTTTTCTTGATGTTTGTGTATTGCTAAAGTTCTTTTTTTTCAAAATAGTAAATTTTTTGCAACACCTAGTATGATTACAGAGCAGAGTGTACATCAATCTTTTTAATTATAAAATAATTTAAATTATAATTATATAACTATAATCATTATTAAATCATAAATTTTAACAAATTAGTTCTTGACAGTATTTTGCAGACTTTTGATTTCATTTAATCTTATAAGCAAGATAGCACTTGTATTCTCAATTCTTTTAATAATCTCAAAGAAAACCTTGTAATATTATTAAAAATAATTTAGTTATAACAAGCTTTATATCTGAAGTCTTTAATCTTAACAAATTCCTATCAATTAAACTAAGAGCTGCACTAATTAGAGAAAGAAAAAGAAAAAAGTAGGTATAGGCCAAATACTAATTAATTTTTTAATAGTAATAGTATAAAGAATATTTAAAAATAAGAAACATAACATAAATATTTGTGTTATTAGAGAAAAGAAATTTTATAAAATATATATTTTGTTGAATAATTAACAAAAACTAATAATTATAAAAAAGATCATTGAAAATATAATAAATTTTTTACAAAACTTGTGAACTTGAATATACTAATAAATAATCAAAAAAATATTAATGAAAAACCAAAACTTATAATATTGAAGCATACAAATTTACATTTTGTAATTGATTGATAAAAAGTTTGAATGTTAATAAACAATGTATTATGTATGAAGTATGTTAAATATGGTCAATTTAGATTTTGATTAAGAATTCAATTCATAATATTATATGTACACATTATACTAGGAATATATATCAACTAAGTAAATCAAAACTATATATGGTCACTTATAATTTAAGCTTATAAAATTTTTTTGATCAAAATTATTAATCAGTAATGCACTTATATATAAATATATAAAATTGATATATCTTTTTTTAAATGTGCAAGTTGCAATTTTCTATTTTAGTAGAAAGTTTCAACACAAAATAACATTTTCTCAATCTGTTAGCAAAATTACAGAATCATTTTTTATATTATATACAGAAAATAAAATTTTTTTCTAAATTTTAACTTTACTTTATTTGTTCATTTGAATAATTTGAGTAAAACTAAACTGCAGATAAAAAATTTTTAATTAAATATAAAATTTAGATTTGTAACTCTCATTGTAAAGATCTTTAATTGATTTATTCCAAATTTGAATTTTTAATTATTAGTCATAAAGGCTTTGTATTTAATTAAGTATTATTATTATTATCATTATTATATTAATAGGGATTTACAAATTATATAAACATCGATCTCAATTAAAAGATGTTTGTTTAAAAAAAAGCAAAATAGACAATTATTATTAAGCAATAAAATAGTATCAAGTAACAAAGTACATCAACCAACAAAATAATATTGACTATTGAAAGTTCACAAAAAAAGTAGTTAATTTCAACAATTCAGAAATTACCTAATAAAGACATACCATCTGTTAATAGTCTTATCTCTCTAATAAAATATTCAAAAGGTTCAAATAAAAGAAATATAATTTCTCTATACTTGTAATATAAAATATATAACTATTTTATTCAAAGTTAGTACAAATATAATCTAATTATCATTTATTACAAAATTCAAATTTACAACTAGATAAAAATAATAAAAATCTTATTCAAAAAAATCAAGTACTTTTAAATAAATCCAATCTTTAGGTGTACAAATTCATTATTTTAGAGATCAGAAATCAAAACATATTTCAGAATTCTATTCTCTTGTTTGGCATTTAAAACAACTTAGTAATATAAAATTTCAACAAAAAATAAAATTATTATTTAAAATAAATAAATATGAATATTTGTCAAACACAATATGGCTTACTACTAGTTTTCTATAAATAGGTCAAATGTTCTTACAATTTACAATTGAATGTATGAATTTAGTTTATAAGTTTTTAATTGAAAAACTACCTCAAGATTGGTTTTCAAGATCATATCTATGAATATAGTATCAGAATGTTTTGAACTATTTATTAACAAATAAATTTATTAGGCAGAAATGTTTTTGTATTTAAAGTTATGATAGATGAATTAAGACATAAACAAATAAAAACTTTTATCATTTGCTATTAGTTCTGAAATGAAAGTGAACAAACACCTATTACAATATTTTCTAAACTAAAAAACATTTTAAGATGTAATATTAAGACAGTATTAAATTCTATAATAGAAAATATTAAAATAAATAGATTAGATTTTAACAAATATGCTTTATAGGTAATTGACAATATATTATATATGTCAGGAGATAAAAAAAGATATGTAGTTCTTTATAATAAAAAAATAAATTCAAGTTCATTATATATTAATTATAGATTTTATATAATATAAATTATAATTAATCATTTTGAATAAGAAGCATTTAGTACATTTTCAAGTAGTATAGGATTTTCATAGTAATCATACCCTTATAATTTACTTTACTTAGATTGAAAATTACATAATGATTATAATACAAGCAACAAAGACAAACTACTCAATATAAATTTACACATAGTTATCAATTTGTATAATAGTTTGCTTGGATACTATTACAACTAATATCAATTACTATTTTGGTCATATTTGGGTTATGATTTACAAATAGTCAAACAATTTCTAAATCATCACTTAGCATATATTGAATTTACATGATGGTTTATTAATAAAATGAAAAAGTTTAAAAATATATCAAAATCATATCTTAATGATTGGATTCTTTTTTAATTATAACTTCTTGATACAAACTTTTTATTTAAATTAAATAATTAGTAAACTTTATAAACATTTTTATGAATTGTTAATGCAGTTTGTAATTGGTCATGACAATATTACACATATTTATTAAAATGGGCAGTTGACAACTTTATCTTCAGATAAACAAGCACATCAAATATCAGATAAAGTTTACAAATGATATAAATTTCTTAAAAATCTTACTGAGAATTTTGAAATATTTTTTGCTGATAAACTTTTAGAAACTCTTGATATATTATCTAATAATGAATTCAAACCATTTTTTAATAATTTAGAGAAAAGAATTCTTAAGGCATTAGAATATTTTGAAAAATGGTTTTATCATGACTTCATTTACCACTTTCTGTTTGTCATCTTGGTAGTAACAATACTAGATTTTTTGCATCTAGTTTTTTATTATATAGTTTTAAAAAAACCTTGAATTAAACTACCAACTGATCTGAAATTGCAATATACAAGTAAGCTTGATGATGATCTAAAAAATAGATTAACTAACAGTTTCGGATTGTAAGAATTGTTATTAAATGATCATAATTTTCTTAAAGAATATAAACAATTTTGCATTAATGATAACTTATATATATATCATTTTTCTAAATTATATAATTTTGTCAAGACCCAAATCTACTTCATTATAATTAACCAACAGCAACTCAAAGGTCTTTTTAACAAATTAGACCTAAAAACACATCCCAATATGTCAATGTCAACAAAGCAATCTAAGCTTCATTTATCTTCAAGCAAAATCTCCAAAGAAAATTATTCAGATGAATTAAATGAAATAAGGGCAAAGAGAAATCTTAATAAGAAGAAAATGCTGCTTCAAGAAGTACAATTACAATTCGGACCTGAAATTGCTTTGAATATTTTTAATAAACCATTAATGTAATTGTTTTAATTAATGTATTCTACATAAAATGCAATATTCGCTAAATTAAAATAAAGATCTACATTTATGTTATACAAAAATTAATTATAAAATTTTTATATGGTACCATATATAGTTTTGATTTACTTATTCCCAACATTACACGTAGTTTAATGAGATTGGTACATATAATCTATTAGAATAACGATAAGTAGCTGCGCAATGTTGTCGCGTGAAACCAGGAACGGGAGAAATCTACACAGACACCATTTCAGTCACAGGAAACCATATTCTTTATTGCAATCCATTCCTGGTATAAGAAAATGACTCTTTATAAAAGAAGTTGATAGTACTTGCAATCTGAATATTGGTTTGAATTTCAGTGACTGAGCCTAAAAACCTATTAATGAAGTCAATGTCTGACTGCTATATAGTTGGTTAGCTAGCATCACCCAGTTCCGTTGAATTTGAAAACATTAAAAATCTACGAAACATATCTGTATTTAGAAATGATCGACAAATTCTTTCGATTAAGTCCTTGACGATCAGTGATTATCATTTTATCTGCCCGATAAAAATTCGATGAAAAAAAATGAAAATTACTAAATATTTAGCATTGAGGCCTTTAAATTTATATTGGGACACTGATTTTTGTGCCTAAAAAACTTACTTTTACTATCGTTTGTTATAGCATCTTCGATTTTACATATGTATGCGTTCATTTATATTTTTTTTAAAAATATTGAATGATGAATAAGTCACGCGGACCAATCAATTCCAAGATTTTGCGTACAGAGGCATTTGTTCTTGGTACCTACCTTTTAAAGTATTGTTCGGGGTGCTACACAAAGTTACGATGACAGATTACCCAATCATATGCTGAGATTCGCACAGACACATTAATTTGCCTGTAAACCATACACACGTTGTACGTTGTACAAACTCCGTTCCTGGTATACGTAAAAGCGAGAATATTATAGCACCACAAATGCACGCACATGTTACACACAAAGTCACAAGGTTGGAACATCCAATCATATGCCCAGAATTGCGAACTTCACTTAACTTGCCATAAAACCATATCTAGTCGGTTGTCCCTTTTGTCGTTTGTATCCTAAACAGTTCGGTACTTTTGGTACTTTTGATCGGGATTTGGCACATTGCCAATATTCAAAAATTATTGACATATTAGAATACCGAAAATGTGTACAAGGTTGTGCTCCGGATTAGTATGTGACTATTCGGATGTCTACTCCAGAATTCAAAAATTTTAATAGATTCATTAATACTGTAATGTGTGCACTTTTAATTACTTAATACTTATAACTTTAATTTGTCTTTTTCTTTTTACGTGCACCCATGATAACTGGATTAATGTTTTCTTATACTTTCTTTGCTCACTTCGCGTCGATGCAATCGGTTAACCACTTATTAACATACTAAAGGATATTTATTTAAAAAAAACTTTGAATTCATTTTGGGATTCATCAATGCAACATCAAATTTCCATTGAGCGTAATATATTAGGATGGGACATTAACTATTTAATCAAAACTATGTTAGATACATTGATCAATTTATTATGATTAGTGAAATTAACGTAATAAATTAAATATATTTTTATGTTGTTTAATTATAAAAAAAGTGCAAATTTCTAGAAAATTGCACTTATTTTTCAAGTTTCTTTTGAATGAAAAACGTTCTAAATTTAATTTTTGCATAGTTCTAAATAAGTTTCAACTTATTGTTTCAAGAATCTTTTTTTTTATTTTAATTAAAATTTAAAATAATCTCTAAGACGTATGTACAAAACTTATATATTGATAGAAAAATTCAAAACATAGTGTAACAAATTAAAATAAAGGTTCAATTGTAAATAGGTTTCTATATCATATGTTTCATATGTGCATAATTTTCTCTGATACGTGCCAATTCCATTCTGATAACAATGTCCAAGTTTGTTATTTCATTGTCTTTTTAAAATAATTAGTTATATAAAAAGGGAAATATATGGTTTAGTGGCATAGTAAAACAGCGTGATGCTGTAAACTCAGTTGGAACGATTAAAATTTAGTGGCAATGCCAAATCAATAGTGTAATCGCCAAGAATTCAGTGCATATGCTTAATTATCAGCGTGGTCGCTAAAGAACTTAATATTAAAGTCCTAAATGTATATAAAGCCTGAAAGTGTAATAAAGTACAAGAGTTCTTGTCCACTCTTAATTGCAAATACATAAAAGTATATACCTATCTCTTCTTATGAATTGCCCCATTGAATTCGACTGGTAACATTAATAAATCTATCGAGACTTGATTCGACAGACTGAATCAACTTGTAACTTCGACTGAAAATATTAATTCTACAGACCGTTGTGGAATTAAATATTGTCATTCCTGCACCTTGATATAAAGCATCTCTATAAATTGATACGTAGAACACCAAATACATAACTGATCCTACTTGGTCATCGTTAGCTTAGATGTAACCCGACATCACTAAATCATTATCATCATCACCCTTAACAGCATCACCTATAGTTGCATCACCTATTGATCGATATCACAATGTCCATTCTATTTTATCATACCAAACGAATAGTCGTAACTATTATAAAAACCAGCCTAGCTTCTAACGATTCATTACATACCCATACACCGTTGGAGTTGAATTGGCTCTTGTCCATTGCTCTCCCATTCAACGGTCACAATAGCTTTATTCTTCAGCAATTTACAAACAATTTGTGAAAGTTTCAAAGTAATTCGATGCCTTGATAATATGTTGAATCCCTTTAAAATTTCAAGTATATATACTAAGGTAATTATAATAATAGTAATATTGGATTGCTGTTTATGTAACATAAAATTCCGTGATATGAAAATGCAATAGTTAACTAACATAGTTTTGATTACTTAGTCAATGTCTCACCCTAGTGTAATGAATTAATTTCATTTTTTGGGATAATTGATTTTCTAACAAATTAGTATCATGATTATGTTCTCTTTCATATTTATCGTATAAAAAGTAAACCATTTATATTAATAGAAAAAGAGCCTCGTTTCCTATCATAAATACTGTCACAATGATTTTTGCTCATTAAGTTTCCTACCAACATTAAGCAGCCCTTATAGAATTACTATGCCCTATAGAAATCTTGTATCATTCAACCCACATAACTTCTAGTAGTGATTGAAGCTACACTGCGCATTCATTATGCGTCGCTCCCCAACCAACCATTACATTAGTAATATATGGTTGCAAATCATTATTTTCTTTTCTCATTGATATTTTTAAATTCATTACAAGGAATCCATGTAATTCTATACTGTAACCGTTAATCGGAAGAGCAGGATAAAACTGTATATACAATAGGGTAATTTGGCTCTAACAGTATACAATATAAGGAATGATTTTTAGTCAACTAATCTATGTAGAATTTTAAATATTTGATTTCTAAAATATACTATAATCTGAGTCTTAACAAACCTAATCAAAGTCATGAGTCAATTCAGTCCGTCGAATTGAGCTCCGAAGAGTTATTAAAGTTACAAGTCGAATTGAAAAGATAAAGTCTCTAAGGAAATTCAGATAAGTAAATACCTTTTATTATTCATTGAATTCAAGATCTCTATATACATTTTAATTTTAAAGAATGTAGACACCGAAATTATAACCTTTACATCAAAAATCAAATCTTTATGCAGAAATTTGGGTATATACATCATTAAGTTAATGTATACACCAGAAACCCTAAGGCATAGTTTTTGTGTAATAATGTATACGTGAAAATCTCGGCGCTTACGAGATGCATTTGATTTTCATTGTATACAATCATAGAATGTCATGTTTAAAATGACTTTATTTTATACTACCATAAGTTTGTTATAGTATTATGTATAATCCAGAAATATAGTCAAATCTTATTTTTTTCAATATTGCTTAGTCTGTCAAATAAGTGATTATAAGTTGATATAATTTTGTGCAATCAACAATATAATTATTCTGCAGGTATCCTTGCATTGTTATGTCAGAAGAACATATACTTCACTTGGGCATTCAATATACTATTGTGAGCCCGATTTTCGGGGTCACAGGTGACCGAATCGAAGCGACGATCCTGACCCGATCCGAGGTCACACGAAAGTGACGGAAATGTCACTTATGTTACTTACGTCGCTTCTGCGACTTCGCCTACATATGAGTTAAACGAAATATTAGCGTTTTATTAGATTTAGTTAGGATATAGAGTATAAGAAATATATTGCATTTATGAGAGAAATTAACTGCAAATGTAAACAAAACGTTTATTATAAATAAAGGGCATTTTTGCCTTGGTAAGAAAATAATTCCCGCATTCCTAACAACAAAATTCTCTAATAACAATAAATTCCCTAATTACAATAAATACCCGATCACTAATACAAGTGAAAGTCTACCCTATACAAACTAATAAACCATCGCTAAATCCCGTTGTTACTCCTATCGTTCGCCAAATAACACCACCAAACTCGCCATTGATCGCTCATCGCAAGTCACGTGACTGAACCGTAGCGTAATAGAGGAAGTTCCAACCCCGATTCGACGAAGAGTAATCCCGGGTTGAGGCATACAAGAGAAGAAAGAGAAGACAAGAGAAGACAAGAGAAGACAAGAGAAGACAAGAGAAGACAAGAGAAGACAAGAGAAGACAAGAGAAGACAAGAGAA